GGCCGCCGATCCTGACAAGTACAAGACGCCCGTACCCTGTAAGCGTACCCACATTTTTCTCAGAAAGAGTCACCGCATAGATCCGGACGATCGCGTTCGTTTTCAGATACCTCGAGACCGCCGAAACCCGGTGAGATCAACGGTAAAGAGTATCATTTCGTGAGCCGCGAAAAGATGGAAGAGGAAATCGATGCGGGGAAATTTATCGAGTACGGAGAGTACAAGGGTAACTTGTACGGTACCAGTTCCGAGAGCGTCAGCTCGCTGATAAACGCCGGCTACGTATGCCTGTTGAATCCGCACTACCAAGCTTTGAAGATGCTTAGGACACCGCAGACGAAACCCTACGTGATATACGTGAAACCACCTAGGTTCGAAATATTGAAAGAGACGAGAAACGATGCCAGAGCAAGGTCTACCTTCGACGAAAGCAACTCGCGAGGTTTCACGGTAAATCGTTTCATTCCAAATCGTTCGTGTGCCAGAAATACCTCGATGCCCTCTAACGCGTAACCGTTTCATCGTTCGTTTGCAGGACGAGGAGTTTCACGAGATACTGCACAGCGCGGCTAGGATAGAATTTCTGTACTCTCATCTGTTCGACGAAGTGATAGTGAACGCTGACTTGCCGATGGCGTTCGAGCAGTTGGTGAACGCGGTTCATCGGGTGGAGTCCGAACCGCTTTGGGTACCTGCTTCCTGGGTTCAATAAATTTCGCTCGAACCTGAAAGGGTCGCGTACGAACGAAAGCATCGGCGTTCGACGCGTAACGATTACGCGATCGGCGGATGCTTTTCTTCGAATCTCTCGGGCCGTACTTTGTCGTTCACGCGCGTTCTTTTCTCCTCTTCGATGGCATTTCGAGTCACCTCGCACTTAACCCGAGTAATCCCGATGCCTTTTACCCTTCGATGTATGTATGTACGTATACGTTTGATACGTTGACGTTCGTTAGATTAAACCGCGTTGTTTTTATGTCACGAATAGTGCTCGTTTTGCGTCAGGGTACAGTTCTGCCGGGTGAAAGGAGACAGGATACGTTCACGAGCGATCGATTTAATCGATTTCGTCGTTTACCGTTGTTTTCTAATCTGTCGTACGTTCGGTACACCATCTTGCGTTAGCATCCTTACTGCCAAGAACGTTGCGACCGAAGGAAGCGTCTCGTGACGAAGGAGAAAGCGTTCTTCGATTCGATCGCGTGTTATCGCGCGAAACGATTCGCGGAAATTCGCGAAGGGCCAAGTTCGAGGGAGATTATTAGGAAGAACGCGTGAACCGTGTTCGAAGCTCTTACGTAATTTTGGGATCAATGATTATAAATGGTATACGATCGGATAAAATCGAAACGCTCGTTCGAGGAAAACGAGCACGCGGTAATTTTCGGAAGACGACGACGCGAAGGCTGCTACCACTCGTGACCTTTGATCCCAATTGTTGTTGATTGTTGCCAAAATAAGTATCGTACCTAGAACACGGTGAGAATCGTCTCACGATTATTGTATTTTCCACTTGATCAGCATTGCCACGATATCGCTATTTTTTTCATAATTAAGGGCTGCCAGCGCGAGGAAGATTATATGCGCGCGATCCTATCGGCGTTGCATCAAATAGTTCATCCTCGATGTAAACTCTGTATGTTACCGAAATATAGCATTACACTTTGAAATACGTATTGTCGTCTTTTTGTCTCTTTTGTTGATATTCGGTTTCTTTCGTCCGAAAGAAACTAACGATATACACGAAAGATACACGAAACCTTCTATCGAGCTAATAGAGCGAAGCGGAAATTTTCGCACGAAACGACGGCGTTTTTAACGAGTTTCGTGATTCGCGCGGAAATACGAGCGTTTCGTGCAGGTATTCAGCCTTGAAGTAACGATCTTCGCGAACGCTTCTGCGATAGCGATCCGTTCAAACGCGAAATTAGATCGATAAATCGAACGTATTAGAACGGACGCTTCGGGCGAAACAATTTTTTACCGTAATTTAGTGTCACGGGTAATTCTCGATCGCTTATCGCATATCGTAAACAAAAAGTATCTTCGAACTTCGCGATGGCGATAAGTTTCGTGCGGATAATCGGCTTTTTTTCGTCTACGATACGGTGTCACGAAAAGGCACGAAATTCGTTTCTTTCGCGATTGCAATTTTCTCTTGGAATCGCGACTAAAGCAATGATTTACAAACACGCGCGTCTACGTGCTTCTTTACTTGTTTATTCGCGATATCTTTAGTGCGTTGTTAAAAGACAGTGTAAACTGTCTACCCTTTTAGAATTCGTGCAATTCTTGCAACTCGTAGACAACCTACCTTTAAGTTTTTTAAATGAAACTATTAGATTTTCGATTCATAGTCTCCCGACTAAACGCGTATTTTGGCCAGAGTATGCTAGAAAATGATAAAATCGCGAACGAGCCGGTACACGTTAGATTTTAGCAGATTTCGTTGTCGAATTATATTTATACCGCGCGTAATACTGTTTGCGGATAGCCAAGAAGCTACTAATGCGAACCGTTGCAAATTCTATTTTTAAGGCTTTCAGATTTCTAATTGATCCTGAATCATCGGAGTTTTAGACCGCGTGCCTTCGATCGAATGGCAACGCGTTACCGCGTCGAAATAGATCGAGAAACATCCGTGTTCGAAAGTCCAACTCAAGTTTTTTCCGCACTCGACGATTCGCGGACGATGGAAATTGACGTTGTCGTGGAAAACGCGAACAGTTCGTAATTTCTCGTTGAATAGGCATCGGAGAAGTAACACCTGGCTAAAATCCGCGACTGCGCGGATGTAAGAGCGTGCGATACGACTCTCGCGATACTTTCAGGGCGAGGGTGCGAATTAAACTTTGGCCCAGTATCCGATCAACCCTTACGCGAGTAGATTAGCCTAAGTTTCTCGATGGAACTAACGGTGCCGCGTAGTATCGCTTTTCACGTGCTTTCCGTAACCGATCGTCGATCGCGAACGTATTTACGTTCGGACAGTTTTCTACGAGGACACCTTTAGCAGCGTTTAAACGCGAAGAAAAACGTTTTGCTTTCCAGTATACTTTAAGGAATGTAAGGTAAAAGGGTAAGTATTTCTTTTTCGAATCGAAATTCTCCGGCTGGAGCGTTTTATTTTAAAGTTCGATCAGTTTATTTAACTTTCTTCGGATACGCGTATTCACGCGTCAAACTATTACATGTTTTATTCCATCGCTTGGAAAAACTTAGGAATTGTACGCGTACGTACGTATATAAACAAATTGTTCGTTTTTTTCGTCTTAAGTAAAACTCGTTTCGAATCTGGTCCACGTCGGGGCGACGAGTTCACGATGATTCCCAGCAGTTTGATGTCGAGCTAGTTTAAAATTAAACCGAAGCCAGTCAGCGTAGAAAAAGAATTTTCTTACGTAGATTACGACCCCAATTAGTCGAGACGTTTTTAACGACGGTGCTCGATAAAATTCGTCTGAACGAGCTTTAATATCCCTCCTCGAAACGTGTCAATGACACAACCGTGAGTGCGATCATCAACGAAAGACGATTATTATTCCGGATCGAAGTTACGTGCGCGTTATTGACATTGATAACCTTTACCGGTTCGTCGAGCAGCACCTCATGAATTTTCATTAATCGCGCATTGTATTTAGCAAACACGACTCGCGACATGATTCTTTAACGTCGCATCTTCGAAAAAATTGTGGCTCTCTCGACCGCGTGATGCGCTAATAACGAGGCGCGTATATCGGTGCTGGACAAACGTTGAGAAATCTGGTAAAACCTCAGCGGAGTCTTTTTTCTCTTCGTAGGTGTTTCCACAGTTTCTTTTCGTGTGGGTAAACAAGAACGAGGTTCGAAATAACGCCGCGTGTTGACCGATCACCACGACTCGGAACAAGAACACGTCGAAGCAGAACGTTGAAGCATCTTTTTATTTCGCGAGGACATTTACCTTTCACGCGAAAGACCGAATCGGGTGGATCGTTAACGTACGATCCAGTTACGCGGTGACGGACGTTTCTCCGATTGTCTCTACATCTGTTCAAACAAGTCGATGCCATATGCGTGCTTACGATCCCTTAATTCGAAGATACGGCTATGATTTCGTACGATCGATAAACGAGCCCGAGTCGAGCGTGGCATAATCGATAGATTGTCGTGCATAAGAGAATTCAAAATATTGGCTTTGCGCCAGAGGTGACGACGACAAACGCGAAGACGAAGAGCGAAGACGGGGAAATGTAACGTAGCCAAAATAAGCACGCGGGCTCGGCAAAAAGACGAGCGTACGCGGTCGCGTAAAGTACGACGCTCTACGTGTCTACGATAGTAATCTCGTTCGTTTCTCGATTCGAAAACACGAAAACCTACGAAATGAAAGCAATAGGTCGGCAAACGGTTCAAGTTGGGACGCTAATTCGAATCGCGGAGGTAATATATACGGAAACGTTTGCGATGTCGTGTCGAATCGAGCTCGGTCGATCGATTTGAGATATCCGTTGTCGGTGATCGATCGGGAACGGTGCTTCATGGAGTCTAGATCGACGATGACGAAGAATCATCGAGACAACGCCAACGGTCTGGTGAGGAACGTCGAGGCGCTCTCCAGGAAAGTTTCTCTGGCCAGTGGAATCAAACGCAACATCGGAGACTCTGCATCATTGTCCAGCATGCAAAGAAATTCTACCCAAGTAAGCAGCGAACTTCTCGCGTTTCCTTTCGTTGGCATTTCTATTCCCGCATCGCCGCGTAGTTGGCGTTCTTCGTAAAGTCAGTCGCGTCATCGGAGATCGGCCGATTCGTTTACGAACCATTTTACGCGCGGACAGCAGCGCACGATTCGACGAAATGTTTCGAACGCGAGCAGAATAATCGACGGTCGCGAGGAAAGGCGTTCGCTCGCGAAGAAAAAGAAGTACGCTAGCGTTGCTCTCGCTACTACCGACAATAACAGCGGTCGGACGAGGCGCGTATACGGGGCGAGCAACCAACACGGGGACTTAACCGACATATAAATAGCGTTTAGTCGAAACGGATACGGTAGAACTCGCGTGCACGTCTTGCGAGGCGATCCGGAAGGCACGATTCGCTTTTCAAGGAAGGCTTCTCCTACTCCGAGCACCGACGCTCGCCGCATCGCGATCCACGATACCGTCCTCAGTGATTTCCGAGAGTTTACGCGGCTACGATCAATGCTCGACGCGCGAACTCGCTCTCGCCTGCTTCCTTCCACGAGCAATTACAAGAACGAGCCTGTGGTTTACCGGTAAGCCGGTGAGCGTTTCTGCGCTCCGACCGACCCATATTTTCGAGATTACACCGCCTTGTCAACGCGATCGCGTCAACTTTGATAGAGAGTAAGCACCGATATCGCGCCGCGAACGTAAGTCGGTTTATTGACACTGCTCTCGCGGATTCGCGTCATCTAGCCGCGACGATTCCATCGACTCCGATTTCGCGTTTTCGACGACAAAACGTGGCAGATGACGGTTCGTGTCTTTTCAAAATTGTCGCGCTTTTCCGCGTTTCTAAGTACACGCGTCCGCGACTGATATCTGTCGCGACTTAAATTAAGACGAGCCAACTAACAGGTAACGATTGATTTGGTCGCAGAGGTCGGTTGAAATTGTCGAGGGCAGCTGGCGGGTAAACGGTGTCCAGGCGACTCGAGCAAAACGCAACGTGCCAGTAAAGGGCACCGGCTGCATCGTGAACAACGGTCTAGTTGCCTCTAGGGGAGAACTCGCTCGAAATAGCTGCACGAGGAGAGAGACGCCGGCGCCGTGCGTCGTTAACGAGAAGAGCAACGCGGTCGTCGACGCGAGTTACCGCGCCAAACAGCGGGATCGCTTTCTCGAAGAAGAGTTGTCGAACAAACGGTACGCCCAGAAGGCGACAACGATCACCACGGGTATCAGGAAGCTTCAGAGAGTCATTCCCAAGTCGTTTTCTGTTCCTGACCATTTGCAAGAAGGTAATTTGAAACCTATCTTTTGCGAAAAGCCTATCACGATAAACAAATTTTATCTTCTTTCGGTAGTCGCAACATCTATCGGTATAACGAACGTATTTCGGTCCCGTTTGTATCACGCGCTAAATGCACTGCGAAAATGACGCGAGTATTCCAAAATTTCGCGCTTTGGTTGTTCAATATATAGTAACTCGATTGGATCGGAGTTTTGACGTCGATTACGGATAATGGACAGTCGTAAACGTTAAAAACTTGTATTACGCGTTCGTATACGTAACATTTCCGCAAAAAACGCACCATTTGTGGATAATTACCTTTGCCCGTGCATAAATTCATATCGATAACTTGTGTTTGACGTAATTACATAATTACGTAGAAAATTGCAAGAGGTAAATTTAAAAACGTCGCGAGCAGTGCATCGTGGAGTACTGCGAACGTAGAAGTAATCGATCGAAATATTTTGCGGTCTCTAAACATCTATGAAACAAATGTCAATCAGTTTTTGTCTGAAGCGTTGCCACTACGCTATATATAAACGGTTCTATTTAAACGACTACACGAATACTTGTTCGAACCGTTACAGAGCGTTACGTACTCGAACGAATAATATAAATTGTCCTTGAAGCCGTAGGATCGTTTTGACATTCGTCAAACGCAGAAGGGAAGCGCTATATGAAGGAACTCTTGTCTCGTGTCCCTTTCAGGCCTCGCCACGACGCGGAGAAAAAGGACGACCCTCGATGATGGTATTCTAAAAAGGTCTTCCGCGTTTCTGGCGAATATCGCTCAGTCCGCTTGTCGCATCCGAGAGAAGAAAACGAGCGACGATCGTTCAAAACGAGCAGAACGCCGTTCCTACGAATATCCCGCGGACTCCCCGTTTTCCACCAGATCTTCCACCCTGAGCGGGTACTTTTCGGTCTTGAACGACTTCATCGACGACTTTGAACCTCTTCATCGGTCTCCGAGCGTTCACACGCTACCGGTCGAACGGAAGAAGAAGAGCGGTACTCGAATTAAAAAGTCAGTGTCCTTCAGTTCGGATACGAGTTTCGAAGAGAAACGTGCGCCGTTCAGAAAAGCAGCCGTTCACGAGGTCAAGGCCTACCGCAAGGGTGTCCTGCAAGGTACGCCTATTTCTACTTCTCGCTCGTCGTTAAATCTGTACCGTCCGGTACGACGAAGTATACGAAGATACGAGCTCGCGTTGGTCGGCGCGTCCTTGACTCTGTCGCGAAAACGTTTGAAAAGTTCTAACTATTAGTATCTTCTTTGGATGTCCCTCAAGGGGAACATCTAAATATGAACCGTGTTCTAAACGCGTGGACAAAAGGAATAGAAATCAATGAACAATGCGGCACGTTGAAGGACCGTTGCTCGTTGGAACACGTGAAACGCAGTCTTCGTACGACAATGACATTCGTTAAGATATCACCGAAGCGGCTTTTCAGGTTGTAAAATTGAAATAAACGCGTCCATCACGGTTACCGTTGCGCGATTCACCCGAACGCGATTTATCGTCTAACCGACAGCCTATTTATTGCTTTTTCTATTTCCGCGCGTTACGAAACGAACGATTCGCTAAATGTTCTCTTAACGAACGTAAACGTAAATTTTCGAACCGCCGTTAGATCATAGCGAGGCTGCCACGATCGTCACAAAAGTGCCGTCCTCGTGGGAAACCAACAGCGAGGGCCGAACGGCCCTACTCAGAGCTGCCAGGGATGCCGACGACGCGGCCCTCAGCGAGATTGCCCTTCGGGTGCGAAAATTTGGATTCGGAGATATGGACGTCAACGTGGCCGATAGCAGCGGCAGGGTAGGTTACAAACGATCCCGTATCGTTATCGATGCTTCCGTTACGCGTCATTACGTAAAAGCTGGAAAAAAGTTACTCGCCTTTGATATTTACCTAGAGTCTAAATCAAAGTTCTCCGCGCGACACCCGGTGTTCGATTTACGGTGCAGAAAGAAAGCTGTTAAACCCGCGATTCTTCTTTGTACCGCAAAATATCTTTCTCGATGCGGGATGGATAAACAAATCTGGCAGTTCGAGCGTGTAACAATAAGAGCTCCAAACGTTTTTCTTCGCGCGAAAACAGTCGCGGTTCGGCTCTGACGCGGGTTCGCCGCGCTGACGCAGATATAAAGTAATAGCGCGAGTTTGAACTATCGCGTCAACGTCAGTAACCACTTAATAAATTGATCCTTAACGGGCACTGTCTATTGTGCGATTTCTCTGACGCGAAGAATAACGGGGGGCCCTCGGAACGACGATCGAACAAGCCCCTTGCCAACGTTCTTTCGGCGTTCTCGATGCGCATCATTTGTCTGTCTCTCCTTCTTCGAGAAGAATTTCGCGCCGCTTACCGTAATGGGAACAACGAACAAGTAAACGGAAAAAACGAAAGAGTAACGGAGCGTTCTAGCGCAGAGGATAGAGACGTGGATCTTTGGAAAAAGCAGTTTACGTAATCAACGCGCTTTCGAAGCAAACTTTCGAGTGAATCAACGCTGAAATCGTTTATTTGCGATGCCAGACCGCCATAAGCTACATGGCCGGGAACGGAACCTCGGCGATGTTGGAGCTAGCTTTATCGTTCGACGGGGTGGACCCAAATACACCCGACAACGAGGGCAACACGCCCCTGCATTTTGCCGCGCAGGCGGGTAAGCGAACATGTTACGCGTTTAAAAGAAAAAACGCAAGATCGAGAAAATATGCAAAACGGGAGAAGCGTTACGCCCGGGAAACCTTTTTTTCCTCGCGTGTTCATTTTTCGTTGCGTTTCATGCGGCATCGATTCGCGCGCGGTGTACTCGCCGGATCGAAAAAGGGATTGGTTAATAAATATTTGCGAAGGGGAAAGAAAAGATTACTACGGAAATAAAGTACTGCTTCGTTCGAATCGTTCAAGGACTTTCGTTCCCTCTCGCACTCGGATCGCGAAATTTCGGCCACGCGATGGATATAAATTTCGTAAACGCAACTAGCGCAATTAGAAATTCGTCCCGAACGGTCGACGTACAACCGCGTAAACGTCAAAATTTTACGCGCGGCATGCCGTAAGGATTCCACCGCGTCATCGGTGCCAAAAATAATCGACGTTAGAGAGTAGCATGTTCGGATGCGCGTACGTAGACAGTTATAATCGAAAGACGCGTGGTTAGCATTGACGCTCGTCGACGAGCGTCTTAAGCCAAAACGCGTTAGAATACTCGAAATACGCGAACGCTCGATTTCTCGAAGGCCGTAGGTCGACCGCTACGTTGCTCGATGTAACGGTTGTCCCGTTTCCTTCGATCCAGGGCAAACGGAGTGTTTGAACATACTACTGCAGAGGTGTCCGGACATCGAAGTTGACGCTAGAAACGCGTCGGGATTCACGCCGTTGATGAAGGCTGCTCTTCAAGGGAGAACCAAATGCGCGAAGATTCTGTTGTTTGCCGGTGAGCTGAATTTACGACTATTACCGTGGCGTCTGCCACGGATCTTTCGACGTCAGTTTTGTTTAAAACCATTTGTTTTTCTTATTTTATTTACGATACGTTTGATCGCGAACCAACGTAACGCCGTTACCCGCCTACCTATTTTCAGGCGCGAATCCAACGTTAAAAGATCACGGACGCGGACTGAGGGCCGAACAGTGGGCCAGATTCTGCGGAAGATACGTGTGCGCCGAAGTGATCGAAAGATTCGCCAGGCATCGACTTTTGGAGAGATCAACGACGTGTCGATGGGGCAGCGAGCCTGAATTAGCAGCCAAAGTACTGCAAGGAAAGGTAACATTTGCAGAACGCGACCTTTCAACAAAGTAAACTTAAGCAACGAAGATAAATGTATGACGCAGGTGATGCCTATTCCTCCGACTCCTCTGTCGCCTCCGTCTTCGGGACTGAAGTCGAAGATTAGGAAAGTCTTCCGCACCACTTCTGGCCCGGATCGAAATTTTTCCTTGGTTTCGCAACTGACCAGCGCCGCTCTTTGCGCGAGCAGCCCCGCTTTGCCGAAATCCAGCGAAGTCCCTCCCGTAGTTAAAAGTCTTCTCCGACCTCTGAGCGTCCCCCAATTAAGGTACCGTTGCTTCGATTCAACGCGATCATTGTTCCAACGATAAGTCGTATTGATCGTTCGATATCTTTCAGAGTAACGCTGGTTTCGCCGCAGGATTTTCTCGATTCAAAGGACAAGTACGGTGGAAATTTCACGGAAAAGATCGAGAACGCGTCGACGAAACAACCGTCGCGATCGAAGAAGAAAAATAAATAGGACAATTTTCGACCTTCCTTCCTCGTTGTCCGATTCTACCACAGTTCCTATCGCTCCTTTCGCTCGCTCCAGACTCTACGATCGAAGAATCATCTTCGATGAAATGAACAAAGTATCGACACGATTGAATCGAGGTCAAACTTGTATCTTTGGTCTACCATCTCGGTAAATGGTACCAACCAGAGGAGAACACGGCAACCAGGAATACCAAAGAAACGAACTAGAGTTGCGATGACTCATATCGTACGAAAAAATCGACGTACTAGTTTCAAAGTGATTCCAAATAATCATCTGTCGGATCGAGACGAAAAACATTCGCTCTAAGATTTTTAAATTTATGACCTTGCACGCGTGCCACGAAATAAGGCGATATTTTGTATCTCTGTATAACGTTAGCTAAACGAACTTTTAAATAAACGTCTTGATATCAAACCCATAACGACCAAGTATTTTTGTAGCCTGTAACTAGGACGAGCGGCGAATTGGTTCAAAACTGGATTTCACTGACCGAAGGTACCACGTTTTCTTGGCTTTATATTATATTTACACGTATAAACATATTTACACATATTTACACAAGTCGGTTCTTGTATTTACACGTATAAACACGCATTTACAACGAGAGTGAAACGCGATCGATGAACAAGAACGTTTTGTCACCGTACATCGTCTATACCGTCGATCAAGTAAAAAAACGTAAAAAGCAAATATTTCCACAAATACCACGAGTCCGTATCTATCGGTAGCCTATCGATCGTAACGCTGATTAATTTACGACGCGTACGAAAACTGGGATACCTTAAAGCTGTTGCATAGAATTAAACCGATCACGGGTCGGACTTTCTATTGCGACGTTGTCTACGATTCTTTGCCTTGGAAAGGATTTCGTACGCTTGCTGTATCTCCATGAATTTTTCTTGAGCTTGTCTTCTCTCCACCTCGTTGCCTTTTATCTTGTCAGGATGGTTGTCTCTCGAGAGGGCTCTCCAACGAGCCGTTACTTCGGCTTGCGTGGCCGTTTGCGACAGGCCCAACACCTGCACGAAAGAACACGATATCGTTGGTATCAACAGCGTTTAAAAAGTTAGATTTTACGAATATAGACTTGCTTTGTAAGCGTTTATCTCTCCTCGAGGATCGGTTAGGTCCACCAGTTGCGCCCAGGTTGCCCAGAAACCTTGATGCTTCGCTTGGTTCCACGTTGCTTCCAGGCTAGCCTAAAACGCGTATCGAATAACGAATTATCTTAGTCGAATGCATTACTTATTATCGCCTGAACGAACCTTGAGATCGACCCATATAGGAGACGTTAAGAAATGTTGAATAGCTTCGGACAGTTTGATCTCTTCGCCTTCGCTGTCGGTAATGACCGCGTTAAAGTACAGATAGCAACCCAACATACAGAGGAAGATCGCAGAGGCCAGAGTCAAATAAACAATTCTTCGAACGAGACTTCTTTTCTTCCTTGGCTTCAGTCTCCATTGTTTGCTAAATGTATCGAAACTTAAACTGGCAGCTACGACCATTAAAAGTAACCACACGGTGTCGTCACCGATGTACGTTAACGTTGGATAAAACAAATACGCCGAGCCAAGTGCAAGCCATATCGATCCTTGTTCCCTACCGATGTTTCCGATCGTCCAGACGCCTAATTAAACATAAATATTAAACTATTAAATCGTATTCTATATGGAATGTAACGTTCAAAAGCGATTAACTGTTAGCGAAACGGTAATACGATATTTTCTCGCGTTAGCTGCCGCAGCCAACGTAAACGTATTATCAGCAGCGAAACCTGAGCTCGAAAACGTATTCGGTTTCACGACCTTAAAGAATGTTATCGGCTAATTATTGAACGCGAACAAGCGTATATCGTTAACAAGCGTAAAAGATAAGGCGCACGAAAATAAAATCCATTTAGTTCTTTCGAAACTGGGAATTACTTACCTAGAGCGATGACTAAGGGTGTCAGGATCAGCAAGTACCTAAAATTAATCCCGAAAACTTCGTCTTCCGGAATTGCATTGCGAAACAGTTCAGCCCACAAATACGCCACTGCATTTTCGGCAGCGAATCGCACCGTTGAGAATGGCGGCTGAAATACAATTATTTACATATCCTGAACGTCTCGTAATTTCCTCTCGGATTAAAACGATAAGTACCTTTCTGTTGGCTCTGATTTTCTGTTTGAATTCGTTCAGGAAAGCGTAGTCCTCGTTCGCGTCTCGCACGTACGCAGGAATCCTGTAAATATCTCGCAGCCATCCGAGACCAAAGTATCCCCCAAAAGTGCTGAAGTAGACGAAGGCCTGCACATCCCGTCCCAGGTACACGTGGTGTGCTCCAAGTAGACCTCCAACGAGCCACAATACGTACGTCCAAAAGACCGACTTCTGTTTCTTCGTTGGTTTCTTGCCGTTTTCTTCGACGTGACCATTTTTCAACTCCATATTTGCCCCTTCCATAATTCCGAGATCCTGTTAACGACGTTCGCACAAATCCCGAATTACACCGCGTTTTCTATGTTTACTTTTGTTCGATGCGATGATTCATTTGGTAAGAACACGACTTGTCAGAGTGCACTTGTCAGTGGCGGTTTAGGAAATGCCGAAGGTAGTTCCACCACGCCGGTTCGTACCATTTAGGGTTCAACGCTCCGCCAGGTATAACGGTACCCTCGCAGGACCGTAGCAACGAAACTATCCGTCGTCGATTCTACGGAGGGGTAACAGGGTGAGCGATACAAATTTCTTTTCAGGTTTGTCAACTTTAGTCCGTAACGTTGTTTCGAACCTTCTCGCTGCGTTATCATTATCAACATTATCATTATTATCACTGTTACTATCATTATTTTTATGATTAATGGTTTAACTACTATTGCAAGAGAAATATATTAAGTATATACTTGTTTCAAGTGTTTGAGAACCCTGCCCGCAATCATAAATATCATATTTTAGATGACCGTATGAGACATCAAAGATTCGATACTTGTTTTTAAAAGATAGCAAGAACTGCTAAGAAAAATACATTTGCTTCGAGGCTGCATCGTTGAAAGCATATTTAATGTACTTTCGGAATAAAGCTTTTACGTTCGGTTTGCGCGTGTCTCGACGCTATATTTCAATTCGCGCTATTACTTTAGGAAAATAAATGTCTATCGTGTAATATGAGGTAAATGCAAAAACAAAGTTCAATGGTTTATTCAACTTTTGGCACGATGCACCAAAAATACATTTTACCGCATCGTCGGATCTGTTTATTCGCGAACAAACTAAAATGATCCGGATAAAACGTTAAAGCGAACGTGTATGGCTATTCCATTTGTCGGCAGCATCTTGTTTGCTGTTTGCTCGGTTAGTCGGGCAAACGTTTCACGGTCTGTAAATCATTTTTACATTACCAACAGACCTCGGTGAGCGGCAATATTATTTTTACGCCTACTTCTGTTCGTCCTCCGATTTATCAAATGCTATAAATAATTTTTGATCAAAAATGCAGATATAATGGACGCAGGATACGTGCCCTACAAATGTCGAATTCTATTTGTTTCGTAATTTATGTCATGTTACTAATGCATTGTTTGAATTTACTGGCAAAGTGGATCGGCCAAAAACTTTAGCGACATCTGTATACAAGTTAGGAGATTAAAATCGTGAACTCTCGATAGATGACTCCATCAGTCGTGTCGTTGAATTCATCTGAATTTGAAACGCGATTCACACAACGGCAATGATTTTTTCTCGGTGTATAGCTTTTCATGTTATAACATACAATTATACCGAAATAATAAAGTTTCTTTGATCGATAAAATATACACATACATTCATGTACGGTTAAACGAGTATTGTTCAGGAAAGTACCTAGTGCTTTGACGAAATGTCATATCGTATCTGTTCCACTAATTTCATCGAACAACGTAAAGAACATCGACGGAAAGCTTTTTCTTTTCATCAACGCGTGATTTCGTACGATTCCAAAAGATGGGGACAATCTTGATCGAAGCTTCTTGTTTCCAAAATAATATGGCGGTGTGCACGTGGTGTCTGCGTCTCTGTGTACCACTCTGTTGTCAAACGTGTAACAATCCTCGTTCCGCGATTATCGATTCGTCCGTGATATCCTCGAAGGTGGAACAGACATTTTTATTCGTGAAAAATGCATGGTAATGGAAGGGTGTCGTTCGACGAAAAAGAGCCATAAAGAGTGGCGACGAATAGCGAAAAAGGAACGTCGCAGGCGTCTGCGTCGCGCAGCAGCCTCGGAACGAGAAGCGGACGAGGAACGCCTGAGGGCAGCACTCGAGAAAAGCGCGGAATATTTAAATTGGTTGGAACATTGCCAAGTCGAGGAAAAGGAAAAAGAGATTCGAGAAAAGGAGGAGCACGATGAACGAGAACGACTATGGTTAGAGGAGGAGGTAAAGCTAATCCTTACCGTGCTTCAACCTTCTTCTTCCAATTTTTTATAAATCTTGTTTACACGCATTCCACGTAGCACGGTTCCTTTCCACTGAATTTTCTTTGTTTCGGCGATCGATGGTACGCGTTCGATTAGTTGTAAGATCATTCGAAACAATTTATTCTAACCATGAAAGCAACGCGAACATGTGGATACCGAAACCTATCAGTTATTACATGGTTCCCGTAAGTTCATAAACGCGATTCCAAAGCTTGCGTATGACGTTTCGTTTTAAAATTTCACAGGCGAGAGCCCAGCAGGAATGGCAAATTCTACAGGAACGAAAGCGAAAGGCACGACAATTGCAGCTGGAACAGGAGGCAAAAATCCGACAAGAGTTCGAAGCGAAACAAGAAGTGATTCGAAAGAAACAGGAAGAGGAGAAACGTAAGAGAGAGGAGGACATTAGAAAGCGGGAGCAGCTGTTGAAAGAGATCGACGATTACATCGATGATGGAATCAAGACCCCAGAAGCTCTGCGCGAAGTTATCGAAAGTCAACCTGGAAAAGAGCTTTGTCCTTTTTTCAACAAAACGGGTGCTTGCAGGTAAGCGGTAGTGTAGCAAGAAAATAATAAAAATATCTAAAAACAATATACTTTCAGATACGGCGATACTTGCTCCAGAAATCATCGTAGAGTATGCCTGAGCAAAGTGATATTAGTACCTGGATTTTATACGCATTTTTCTCTGGAGAAGAATTCTGCGGAGTACGATACCGATATCGCGCTAGAATTCGAAACTTCGGAAACGAGGCAGCATTTCCGCGAATTTTACAAGGACGTTGTTCCCGAACTAGAATCTTTCGGAAGAATAAAAACCTTGAAGTACTGTTGTAACACCGAGATTCACTTGCGAGGGAACTTGTACGTCGAATACTATACGGAGAGAGAAGCGGCCAGAGCGTTGAGGAGGTTGAAAGGTCGCTGGTACGCTGGTCGACAGCTCAATTGCGAATTCGTCAATTTGAAATCGTGGAGGAGCGCTGTATGTGGAATGTCAAAATGTCCGAAGGGAAGGGCGTGCAATTTTCTACATACTTTTAAGAATCCGTATAACGAGTACGACATTAAAAGCCCACCGAGGTGGACGAAACAGCAGTTGCTTTCGTCTTCTCACGAGGTTGCCAGCAGCAGGAGAAGCGAGCATAGGTATTTAGCGTTCTCCTTACACTTTAGAATGTCTTAAATTTGAATTGTAACGTTATATCTCGTTTGCAGAAGCAAGTCAAAATGGGAGGATGGCAGCGACGTCGAGCAGGGTAAGAACTGGAGGTGGTCTGAATCTCCAGAAGTTGAAGTGGAACATCGTTCGAAGACCACTGACAAGCGCCATCGTTATTCCGACGAAAAAGATCCTCGACAAAAATCTACGCGTGACAAACGATGCGATCTATCCGAGAGAGATACGCCGGTTAAGCGTCGTCGATCGAACTCCGAAAAACGAAGTCTCGAAGAGAAAGCCAAAGACGACAACGCTTCGAACGTCCGTGAATCCCGTAAAAGACGTTTGTCAAAACACCAAAGAAAGAAAGAGGAGGCACACGGTTATGATGCGTCAAAATCACCGAGACATCTTAACAAAAGACACTCGATGAACAGTGACAAAAGTCATCGTTCGAAAACTCGTCGATCTTCGAACAATCATTCCAGAAAGGATAAGGAAGACTGCGAAAAAGTTAGACGCAAATCGAAAAATCACGATGAATCTCGCGAAAATTCTCCTCGAAGAAAATCCAGTGATCCCTCTGAAAAATTCAATCCCGAGAAAACTGATAACGCGAAGTACGTGACGCGCGTAAAATCTAAATGGGATAAAGAAAATTCCGAACTAATTGATTCCGAAAGCATGGAGTCGACGGATTCGGATTCATCCGATGTCGCCGATGACAAGAAGCCCAAGGTCTGCTTAAAAAGGTCCGACGACGAATGGGCTACGACAGATTCCGAGAACGAATCAAAGGTCAAAGATAAGTAGCGACCTGAAAAAAAGATGTAATGTAATTATTGTAATTAGAATTATAACCATTTTTTTTAAAGCACAATTATCAATAAAGTGTTTTATATTCGATACATTTTACCTTTGTTCAATTTCACATTTTAAATCAATTAGAAACAGATATGTCGGTCACTTTAGATAGACGTATGTACATAGAACAATAGATATTATTTATCAACCACTCGTGTTTGGCTTTACAATTTGATATTTCTTGAATCCTATACATTTCATCATGATTAAGGTGGCTGTAATCACTGATTCGACTCGATCCGATTGTGCGCGTTCGTGTCATCTTATCAGATAAACTCTTTCAATTTGATTCAAAGTTAATAGGAACCGATATTTATCGCCGAAGAAAAGAAATTGTGAACCAGTGCTTTTGGGATCAGCTTCGACGCTGATCGAACAAAGTTACAGATTCAAGTCTGTTTTTAGTGCTTCGAACATGATCCTCCTAAGTGTTTTATTGTCACTGTGCGCCGTTTTTCGACCAGGCGATGCCTTTGGTCTTCACGGATTTCACTTTCGTGGTTTGGAAGAACCAGTTTCTTCAAACGAAACGTACGCTCAGAATATAATCGAAGCTTGGATCCAACAGCCTCTAGATCATTTCAACCCTCGGGACAATCGTACTTGGTCAATGGTATTGTCACGCGAAAATATTCTCAACTAGCGAAATCAAAGTTAACGCCCATATTTTATTTCGACAGCGATACTTAGAAAATTCAAAGTATCATAAGGAAGGTGGACCGATCATGATCATGATAGGCGGAGAATGGGAAATATCCACGGGCTTTTTAACGACTGGTCTAATGTACGAGATCGCTTCCACTCACGGCGCAATGATGTATTACACCGAACATCGTTATTATGGTCAAAGTAAACCGACCGAGTAAGACTTTTGTTTCTATTGGGTCCAAAGATCTTTTTCTTTTCATGTAACGCGTTTAATTTTGCCTCGTTCATCCATTCCCAGGGACATTAGTTCGAAAAACTTACAATACTTGAGCGTGGATCAGGCTTTGGCCGATTTAGCGTATTTTATCGAAACGAAAAAGGAACAGGATCATCTTCGGAACAGCACCGTCATCGTAATCGGTGGATCTTATGCAGGAAGTATGGCAGCATGGGCTAGACTAAAGTACCCTCATCTTATTCAGGTGATTAAGTATTTTGCTCTCTTTCGCTTTGGTTTTTGTCCGTTTTAAATGGTCGGTAACGATCGATTCGTTAACAGGGTGCATTGGCTAGCAGCGCTCCGGTATTCGCCAAGGCTGACTTTTACGGTAAATTACAAAGCTCTTTATAAGTATTTAGGTGAGCTCTTAATCGTACAATAATGGCGGATAATGCTTTTTGCAGAATATTACGAAGTTGTAACCGAATCCATTCGTAGACAAAATGAAAAATGCGCAGATGACATCAAAGCTGCGTTCGACGCGGTCGAGAAACTACTTTTCACCAAAAATGGTCCGAAGAGATTAAAAACTTATTTCCAGTAATTATCGATTATTTTTACGTACATTCTACATTTAAGTTAAGCTTATTCGAGTGAAATGTTTCAGCTTATGCGATGCACCTGACGTAAAATCTCACAACGATATCGGACACCTCATGAACACTTTAGCCGAGGTATACTTTCTTAAAAACTAAATTACTATCACTCGTTACGTTACGCGGTGCATTATGAAACTATGTTACGTAGCCAGCCAAGAAGACGATGTCTTAGTTTTTTATAGTAAAAAAAATATGACCAGTCTTTCCGGAGAACTCATTGCGCAATTCTATAATCGCCCATCCTTTCCGTTGACAGGGATTTGCTGGCATTGTCCAATACGATAACGTGGAAAAGAATCAAACGAAAATAGCTGCCTGTTGCGACAAGATGACTGCCACGTCCTTAGGTAGTCCTCTTCAGAGACTGGCACACGTAATTACAGACGGCAACAAGAAGTGCATAGAAAATAACTACCAGAAATTCGTCAAACAATACAGTAACGGGACGTGGAAAAATGATATCAGCAGACAATGGTATTATCAAACCTGCTCGGAGTTCGGTTATTATCAAACCACAAATTCGAAAAACTCCATCTTTGGATCTCTATTCCCGTTGCGTTTCTTTACGGATTTGTGCGTCGATTTGTACGGTGACTAGTACGTATAGAAAAGGTTGATACGTAGACAATTTTCACGATGTTACGTCCTGTTTCATCCCGTTTATTTTTTCGCAGTTACAATGAAAATTTCTTGGATACGAGCATCAGAAGAACGAATATAATGTACGGCGGTTTACGACCTGATCTGCGCAACGTAATTTTCACCAACGGCGACATCGACCCGTGGCATAAACTTTCGGTTCTTCAAAACCTGAACGCGGACTCGCCTGCCATACTTATCAAAGGTAGTAAAAAAAGATTTACGTCTTTCGTTTCAAACTATTAGCAACGGAATGTTACTTCCAGGGTCATCGCACTGTCGCGATCTATACAGCGACAACCTAGACACAGACGCCAAGGATCTTGTTAACGCCAGAGCAAATGTGCGGAAAATTATCGGCACTTGGCTCGCTTCCTAAACTTATTATACGATTAGTCGGCAGAAAGAATGAGAAACAAAAATATATGTAAAAAGTATCCGTTTATTCCATTGATGCAGTCTTATTTACATAGTGACCAATAAACAATTACATGTCATTTACGAACTATCAAAATTATACCTATTTAAAACTTAATTTCAATTTCTCCGATTTTAATTGTACGTTTGTGGCTATATTATACTTAAAATAATTTCGTTACCCTATGTCTAAATACCATTTGTAAACGTACTTAAAATATCAACAATTCGTCGAGCGCAAAAAATATGTCGCGCCGACCGAGATCGATTCGCCATCTCTTCTTCGCGAAAAATTTTATACCAGCTTGCAAATTTGCTTTGTTTCGAGTTAGTCCACTTCGAGTTTTCTGAACGATCCGGTGATACCGTACATGGTGGAATCGCTGTTGCCAATATCGGAGCAACCCAAACCTTGCTTCAAAGCGGATACTGCGCCTTCTCGAGCTTTGTCCGAGTATAATTCCAAGCATACTCTCATCTTATCGTGACTCAATAAGGTTGGTCTCATTTCTAGCAATTCCTTTCTCCACAGTGCTACGCAAACAATTCATTTTACGTAATTCTCTAAGGACGTTACATTAATAAATATTCCAAAAAGAAGATATACTATGAAAACAATTTGAGATACCAGCGTTTTAAAATTAATTCTTTTGTATCATATCTTGTATTATATTTTGTGTTAAATCTTGCAACTTGTCTAATTTTTAATCGCTCGTATCTCGAGACCAAAGTACCAGATTGCAAATGACAAAAGATTCAGTTTCGCTTTGTCTGAATGTCTAATTAACGAGATCGAGAATCGTTACGATAACGTTATCGAAATGACTGTAGCTAATCGATATTTTTATCTCAACACTTACCGATCATTTCCTTCATTGGCATCGTACCACCGTACTCTTTAGGCAACATGCTCGTGTCCATTTTTCGATTGATGGCGTCTTCGAGGCTGGTATAAATCTTGACGCGTTTTTTGATCTTCTCAGAAATCAACGACATGCCGAAATCGAGAGCGAATTTCAGGGAGGGATGAATATTAATAGCGTGTACTTCCTTGTGCCGCATCGGTATGGTGCGCTAGAATCGTGATCATTCATGAATTTTTTTATATCTGAATATTGGTCTACTTGATCGTGAGTGGGTCCGATGAGAGTCTGTTCAGAGAAGGAAGAGCGAAGTTCAAAGAACCGGTTGTTCCTTCTCTTTATGTCGTTTTAAGGCGTTATGAAATTCAATTGCGTCACTGTCCTTGAATCGAAAGTATCACGCAACATCCAACGAAAAGGAAATTGTTCCGTGATTTTGTAAGTCAGTAGTTCGAGGAGTCGAAAAATACCGGGAAAGAAAGATGCTGTACCTCTCCGTTTTTCACGATGCGAACAGCTTCTTTTGGCGTGAAAAGCGTCAAATGCGGGAAACTAACGCCACCTCCATCGGCAAAATGAACAAAACCTCGTATTTGATTTTCTTCGTCTTCCATCAGAGTTTCGTAGGTGATCGCGTGAATTCTACACATGTCGACGTTCGTGTACTTGTGAGGATCGAAGACACCTGAAAACATGTTCCATAAACATGAAAGAGAAAGTAAACGCGCGTTATATGCACATAGAACACGTGCTAGTCGCTACTCGTTCTCTTCGGCCGTGACAAAGAAATAATATTCGTGCCATAAATTTCTCGAAGGTTGCGTTTTAAAAATTTTTCTTCGGCGAAATAAATTTACAATCGTATCCAGCAGAGTGTAGGTATCGGGCTTCGAAAGGTCGCGTAAAAATATCCGAGACAATGGATGAAAAATGTAGTAAGAACGATTAGCAGAGACGAGAATAATGCTTACCTGGCCTGGCAATTATAACGCGACGGCCTTTCTCGTCGCGGCCGGGAACAGCGAACAAATACCTAAAGAAAAGTAAATCCAATATCGGTTAACTTCGATGTCAAGAAAGCGAGCGGTCTCGTATCTTACCCCAAAGAAATCAATTCCTCCATCGTCGGTTCAAACATGTCTAAATTGTTGAAAGCCGGGTGGTATACCTGACGAAGCAACAAATATCTCTCGATCGCCTCCTCGGCCATTGGTACGTTAAATTTTTTACATCTCAAAAATCTTAATAAGAATTGAGCATCTGTCGAACGAGAAGCGCCATCGATTACAAGTAGCTGAACCAAGTATCAGCGAGCGATACTCGAGAAACGCGTATGGGTTAAATAGGGTAAAAGAGTGTTGAAAAAATAAACGCTGATCTCTCACCCAGTCGGCAGTTCTGAATACGCGGGTTCAATTTGATCCAGTTGCGTACTTGCTGAAGTGCCTGATCTCTCGTATTTTTATCTTCTCGGAGTTCCTCCTTGGTAAGTTTCTGCGTATCTTCCGAAAGAGAACACTCGTAATCGTCTTCTCCGGTTACCCATTCGATCGCTCCCATTTTGCTGCTCGACCGAGTACTTTCGAAGGAACGTCAACGCAACTTCAAATTTTCAGAATCCGAAAGCTTATCGAACGGAGTTCTAAAAAGTGATACGATTTTGATTATTCGTCGTTCGGTTATAATAAGCACACTCTGTGATCGTCTTACGTTCTTTCCGAGCGTTTTTAAATACATATTATGTTCAAAATATCGTTCGAATTCGTTCACGTGGCGTCTAGATCTTCGGATGCACTCTCTTTAACGAACCGCTGGCATAGTTTGCCGGCAACGTTCAAAGTCAAACCGTGAATGGTGTTATATCGCGACAGAGATACCGATCGAAATATACTTTCTTTTACGCGAGTTTCAGCGTAGTTTTGTAATTATATGAGAACCTTCCAGCCACCGGTGAACCATCCACGATTTCGTGACATAACGTTTCCCTCGCTTTATGATATAATGTTCGACCGGTCACCAACACCGAGACCGGCATTACGTTTACGGCGAGCGAGTGACTCCTTTCGCAACCACTTTCTCCGATTATGCAATCCGCTAAGTTACGCGCCCATCTTTGTTCTTCGATTTTGTCCGACCGACTAACACGAATCGAGATATACTGTACCATTCCCTCGTTTTTTAACATATTTTTTCATACCGATTCGATTCGTTACGTGAAGTATAAGGTTCCAAAAAATTACAATAGCCGGAGGATTAGAAATGGAACGCGGTTCGTAAGTGCCTTTGAATTATATAGCACGATCGAATTTTTATATTAAAATAATCTTGTAAAAGATCTTATTAATGTTCACCGTTATTGTAAGTGCGTACTTACGAGTTGAACGTTTCGCATCTATTCGCACAGTCAATGAACGCTAACATTAATAGGGTTACCCAGCAATCAGGGAAGTAAACCGCGCGTGCACCTATCTTCCGCGTAGAAAGTGCAATTTATCAAGTTATTATGCATTTTTTTTACGATATCAATTCTCTCTATATATAGAAACTGTTTTCGGGATTACGTCAATTATGTCGATGTTTCAAACTCTCCATTTATTTCATTTATTTGTAAATAAAAAAATCAACTCGGATGATAGAATAACTTGCATTCATTGAACAAAGTTGCACATTGGCTATATTACTACTTTAATGACTATTTTAATGGTTCTCATCAATTTTTTTCTTTTAATGCAAACAAAGTCTTGCACGTACATTCAATGGTATTATTTTACATACCTGATGCATACAATTTTTTACTTTTGAACACGAAAACATCAGCATAAAATTAATTCAAGAAAAGTCAATGTTGTATATGCAATAATATATGTATAGGTAACATGAATAATCAAATTTCCAAATTTCAAATGTTTTAGCCATTGTAGGTAATTTTAAATTAAAATAGACATGATTTTATTCTATAAATTCAAATTTCTAAAATATCTAATAAAATCATGTTACTTACTACTAAAATGTACAATTTGTTATTCCTAAAAAAACTGTGTGAAATAAGTATTCGAATAAAAGTTTCTCGTAAAACACTGTAAATCGTAGTCAGTATAAAATAGGGATGAAAAGGATAACGTACCCGGATCGAAGTCACGCAGGTGAGTAGTTGGAGGAGACTGTCTCCTCTTAACCGCGGAGCGCTCTTTTATAATTTCCAGTTACACCTTTCTTCTTACTCCACCTTCGGTATCCTTGCGGCTTGTTCTTCTGGGGTCGTGAAACAAAGTCCCTTCGAGGAACAGCTGATACAGTCTTTAAAACTCGATACCTTATTGGTCGAAAGGCAAATGGTTCCTGACACCGAGTACAAATAGTTCCGCGTATATCCTGGCGAAGTATAAGTACAGAACTGCCGCGGTTTACCCAATTGTCCGTCTTTTATAGATACGATGGTAGGAACCGTCGTTCACCTAAAGTCTAAACGATGCACGACAATTTCGTAACGATTCTTTCCCTCCTTGGCGGTAACGAGCTCCTTACAAAACTTTTCGGGAATTATACGCACGAGCGTGTAACGTTCTGTCACAGTTTCCGGATCAGCATTTGACGTTATATTTACCCGAAGATTCGAAAAAAATATTAAATATTTGTTCCTCGCTTCGATCTAATTGCTCGGCGAGATTTTTTCGGAATATGTAATCGCAGCTTTGATAAATATCGAACTTATGTAAAGAGTTACCAGAAGTACTTTAACATTGCAAGGTAAGAATGAAACGGACCATGCGATTCGGTAACGGTCATTTTTTTATGGCTAGATTATGCCGAACTAAAAATTCAGGAAGTTTTTTTTTAAATCAAAATGTAACATGATTGATAGTAACAATAATAACGCTTGACGGTACTTCCCATGTTACATCCGAATAAGTTCTTAAACACGTGGTGGTACCTTTTTTTAATAACCTCTATATTACACGTAACTGTTTTTAGCTTACATCACCGGTCCACGTAACAAGCAATTAGGAAATTTCTTTTCAGCTAGATTCAATCTCTTGTAAGTTTAACGATAACGTAAAAGAAATGAAGACAGCGGATCTTGCTTTTACTTGGTTAGACGTCGTTACGTCAACATGATTTTGACTATCGTATTGTTTAATCGCAAAAGATGTGAATTTTCAACTAAAGAAAATACCCTCTTCCTTTTTTTTCTTTGATATATTTATTATTGATCATTGTCAACACCAGTACAGGAATCGAAATGAAACAAAATGTCGTTGATTATAAAAGTAAAAGTATAAATACGGATCTTCTAAAAAAAGGATTTGGAGGGTAAAGAAAGAAGAGAAGGAAGTGTTAGAATAGAAAATAAGATAAATCGTTACGGTTACGCATAACGGTAGCGATCGTACTGACATAAGTACACGTAACCGTTACTTCGATAGTACTGTTTTCTTACCAAGTTTTGACACGCAATACTCTGAACACTTATAATCAGAAAGTGAAATGTGACTATACCCCCAAGAATGTTCCGACTAGAGACGGAGAAATTACGTGCGTAAAAGAACTTTGCCAGTATACAGAGTCCGTCCGTACGGATTTCGCGCACCATCTGTTTTGAATCGTGCGTCTTGAAATGAATAAAACCAGGGCTTTAAATATTTATTTTATCTCATTTATTACAATCAAAATAACATTTATCATACAAAAATAATAATTATACTCAGCTTGGCACAAATACTATGTTCATAGGCAATAGGAAACACTAGCTTACAAGAAACTTCAAAATTATGATGAAAATGATATAAATGCAGAATGTATATAATAGTAACTAATTTTAAAAATAATAGACTACACTTATGACCTTTTGAGCACATGAATTCGTTACTTCAGTCTTCCATAAGTCTTTCATCATTATCACACAGTACATTTAAAAACAAAGAGATTTGTCAAATTTACCCTCTACCAACAACTTGTACTTTGCTATGAGCACCTTTACAACCACTATTAGAAAATAGTAAACTTTGTTTAATTACGTGTATTTGACTCTGGGCCAGAGTCATGTTGCTATTTCTTGCTGCTTCTGTTATACACATCTCTAATACCTGGTCATCTAAAGGTTTATAAGGAACAATTAAAAACTTAATGTTTGTATTGTCAAAAGCTTTGCTGATTGCATCTTCGTTCTGTACAGAGCTTGTTTCTCTTTCTAAATAATTATTTATGTTCTTAACATTGAAAACAGCTAATACTGTAATGCATTTATTTTTATTCTTGCTTAATAAGCTCATTGTATCGGAAAAGAAATCTATGTCTTTCATTTTTAAATTTTCCATAATCAACAACATGTTTGAGCGAGAAGAATTTAATGCATTCATATCTATAGTGTCTTTCAGAACTGGATCATATACAAAAATTCCATTCTTATTTGGGAAATTCTTTGCTATAATTCCAACAGTGTAAGATTTACCAACACCGGTTCCACCTACAAGACACAGCACTTTCACGTAGAAAGTGTCTGTACTTAAAAATGAAATGATATTTGAAATTGCATTTCTTTGACCGTATACTTTTTGTTGTAATTCCAAACTAGCATTTGAGAAAAGCGTGGTATGGTCACAAATTATAAAGGAATCCAGATTTAAAAATAAGGCAAGTATTCCTATAAATATTGAAAAGATGCATATACATTTGAAATTACAGCAACTTGTGCTTACTTTCTTTGTTACCATATTTTCTTTCTTTGCTACTAATGATCTAAATTTCTTTTTTATATCTTTATACACAACTTTATTTTTATCATTTGTAACATTAAATTGTTTCTGTTGAATATCTGTTGGTTCTTTATCTTCAGATTTTGAGCGTGGAAGATACTCCCCTTTATCTTTTATACCAGTGTTCACAGAAGGATGTAACAAAAATTTAGAATCGTTCAGAGGTTTCAGATTTTCAATTTTTTTGGATTCTATTTCACTTGATTGTTTTCCTGGTATGAATTTTGGTGTATGTATTATACTATTACTTTTACAGAATTGCTGACTGGAGGATTCAAAAAAGTTAGACGGAGGTCTAGTTGGCTGCCACTCAACTTCGTCATTGCGTTGTCTAAAAGCGGAATAGAATTTTAATTATTTAGGCAAAAAGATTTGTTTAACTGTATAATTTAATATACATGTTACCGGCAAAATCCGATTTTAGGATAAACTAAATTTTCCTAGGCCAAACTAGTTCATCCTATATGCTTAATCTAGGCAAAACTAGTTTGGCCTTAAATCGGATTTGGCCGGTAACATGTACATCGTAAAATTCTACCTGATGTTTGAAGTTTTATCAAATATTTGTTCGTAACTGTATTGTCTAACCAAATTAGGCGAATTTTCGGAATAATACGATTGTTTTATATAAATTCGTTGAGACGACGGTAGTTCGGAATAACTAAATGTCCTAGTCAACTTAGAATCATTATCTGAATCTAATAATTTCAGTGCTGCAAAGTGTTTTTCCATAACATGAAAGATAATCCAATCCTGTAGCGAATAAAACCGACAAACAATAAACATAACCTCAATGATATATTAAGTTTGTCAACTTTGATATATTTTGTGTTTTAATAATAATAATGTTTTGCCTTAAATTATTTATCAAAATGACATTTACCTTCAAGGTTCTAATATAACAAAATGAATAGATGGATGAAGTTCAAACTGATCTTATGGCAAACACGAAATGAACCAAATTGCAGTTGGGATTTCAAATATTATAAGAAATAAACCTAACAAATTTGATGACACTCATGTTTTATTTTCACACTGAGTATTTTATTATTGTATTAATTATCAATTAGAAAAAGAAATATAAAAACATTTGATGATATAAGATTCTATTTGATGTAATCTAACTTAAATCATAGTATTTTTTAACACTTGTAGTTAAATAAATTTAATAACATCATACATAAGAGAACAAAAATTTTGTTTCATGTACGGTAATGTTAATAATCGATATTGCAAAGGTTCAAGAGCGGAAAAAGCAATAACGACGTAAAGGTCTTTGAAAAATTGCGCGTAGTTTCAATTCATCCGTTCCGCTGATCACAATTCATATTCCTGTAATTCAAGCTTAGTTTCTGCTCGCGTATCGACGAGAGAGCATTGTAGATTTTAGATGTGTTATTTTGTGTTTTCGTAATGTGACATTTCTCCAACAAAAGGCAATAAAAATGCGATCAAAACAACCGTTATTACAGTGTCTCTGGACTATGTCAGTACTCGCACTGGCCGCTGGTAGAATTCATAAACTCGAAATACGGGTTAGTTCGAAGGATTTTAAGTAATATTGAATGTATATTTACTAATCACTTTATCGGAATTTATTTATTACGTCAATCGCGTTTAACCGAGCAACATAATTAATCGTATTATCTATTATATGCATAATACATGATAACCTTTAGTATTTTGACAAAATAATTATAAAAAAATTATATAAACGAACAAAATATCGTATCAGTATTTATTCTAAAAGCTACACATTTATATCTAGATACTTACATACACTATAAAAGACACGCGAAAGATTTTCACGAAGAATTCGATAAAAAATAGTACTTTTGAAATATAGGTTATAGTCGTCTATCAATCGTCCAAACTATCATTTTTCCGAGGCTTCTTTTATCCTCGACGCTTAGTCATAGGTTACAGGGTTCCCGTTCGATTGTACGCAATATACGTTTTCTGTTACAGAAGGATGTAAGACGACACATTTCCCTGAGTACCTTTGGTTTCTACAAGGGTGGCATTCTCGATGTAAATCTGATCAATTTCAAGGCCGAGCCTTTTCACGAGAACGAAGTGGTGAGTAATCGTAACGTGGATATCGCGTAATGCTATGCGTCGTCCATTCACTGACACCTGTTTCCATTTTCCGTCATTCATGTCGCTTAAACTATAACGATAAGAAAATTCCTCGAACTATTTTCCTCATATGTACTTTTCTGTACGAACGTTTCCTGTTCAAACGAAAACTGCACATGTGTTATACTTCTTAAACGCACGATCGTACACGTAAAATTTGATCAATTATTTAATACCGGTCATACTGCTCATAATTAGCATTCCTCTCAGGTCAGGTTATAAATATTAGAATTCTCTCGAGTTATTTATAAACGATATCCAATATTGATTATAGTCAGATTGTTAATATTCGTTTCAAGTACGAAATACTCTAGCATACGGAAACTTAAATGAACATCAAAATAATTGTTTTTGAAAATTTGCGAAATAATAGACCGCCTTATAAGATGTTTTATTTTTTTACGATCTAGTTTGGATTCAGTTTAGATCGCACGCTAAGCGATGCGATGAACCCGTATTTGGATAGTCATCAAGAAAGATGCGTGTTGCAAGACATTTCGAACGTTAAAAACGATTTTGAACAGAAGGATGATAGCGCGATCATATATTTCACGATGGACTTGAAAAATAATTTGTAAGTATAAATCGCGTAAGTATTTAATCGCTGAAGTATGCATAAATTTATTGCATAAACGTACGTGTTTCAGATTGAAGGTAAACTGCAGCCGAAACGTGCACACCGTGCACATCTACAAAGATTCGAACAGCGTGTTGGCGTTTCGAGCAAAGAGAAACTCTTTTCCGGGTAGATTTAGCGATACCGCTCTCTTTTCGCGGAGGAAACGTTATAGCTCGGACGGTGAGTCAGAATTTTGCGAGTTCCTTGACTTTTTTTCGCGACAATAAATTTTGTCGTAAGGTCACTACCGTAATGAATTAGCCTTCCACAAAATTATACTTAAAGCTAGAAGAGAAAAAGATCATTGTATCTTGTATTATGAAAGAGGAAACGCGCCACCAATGATCAACGAATGACGCTCACAGAGGGACAAGGATTTTAAAATAAATTTGTCGTAGTGTGTTCGTGATTTTGGCAAACGTTCAAAGGTTTGAAGCTGTACCGCGAATCATCCCCCGAAATGAATGGACTACATCGCAACTTCCGTATATCCTATAATCGTATATAACAGTTCGTGACAAGGTGTCCAATTGCTTGACTCCAGTCAATCCATCATTCAAACATTCTCTGTTCGGTCATTAAGAGATTATTTTACTTATTATTTATGGATTATTCAGATGCTGGCGATAAAAATGCTGCTTAACCGCGTAATGCTCGATTCGGTAAAAATTACCTGTAATCGTTGTTGGACGTTATCGTTTCAAAAAATAGTTCAAAGTCGATGGTCGAGTGGGTAATCTTTTTTTTACGTTTAAGTAGGTTGATTTGTTACAGTAGTTAATTTTGTGTCGTGCATTAATATAACCAGTATGACCATCGCCATTGAGTATTTTAGAAACGCGCGTCAAACATTGGTACAAAAATCAATGTTCTCGTGTCTGAGAGAACTTCCGTGTATTTCCGAACTGACGAGTCGAACCACGATGCGCACGGCGTTAAGTGGAAAGTACTTATCAATATTGCACAAAAAGGAGTGTTAAAAATACACACGATTGCATTCGCGGGTTATTTTTAACACGGACTGTTACTAATATTAGATGCTTGGTTAGTAACATGCACTAACAGGTGGAAAAGCAAGAAGTTGGCACCAACGACATCGATCGCGTCCTTTCATTATATAGTCGTTAATGTTCCTCCAGCAAAGAAATTTGTCCGTATAATACATTATATTCCTCGTGTTTTCTTATACAATGTTTTTCTCTTCTTGTACGAGACTGAAAGTGCGAAAGTACGTTTAACCGTATTCGAACGATTACGTTAGGTTCGCCTTGAACCACTTGCCATTTGGCATTAAATTGATGCTATGTATCGTGACAGACATTTTCGTTCGAACTTCTAGATACAGCATAGGTTTTATACACGTATTATCGCGACACTTAATACATGTAATCGATTGTCCGATGACGATGTATTACTAACAGCTCTGCCAAATGCGATGCTATACGAGACCGTTTATTATGATTTATCTTTCTGCGCACTATTAGCAGCAACGTCACTGTACTTCTGGTACATGTCGGACTTTTTTGATTTATTCTCACTTTTACTTACTGGAGTGATTGTGTATGTTTTTCGAATACAGGATTTGGGTCGTAGAGCTTGAGAACGCGCTTTGCTTAAAAGAGGGGAGAGGAAAGGGAGCATATGTTCGGTGCGTAGAACGGTTAAAGACATATAGCATCGTTCGCGAAATTTCATGTTCCTTCTTTGGAACACATCGTTGTTGCCGCACTAAATTCGATTGTGATCGATATCTCATGGAATGTGGACGCGGAGCGACATCGGTGATCGAACACCACCGAGATGAGAGTCGCTATAATTAACGTGACTCGTCCCCAATCTTATAAATAACTCGAAACTCAAATATTTTTGAGAGTCTGGTTAGGTAACTGTCTTCTAGAGTAGTATATTTCGCGCCAATAAAATTCACTATCCGATTGGATTATATCGAGCTTATAACAGAGATCAATTCGCTTAATCCGTTTCACCGGATTCAATGGCTTAGCGAAAACGAGAAAAAGAGCGATTTTCGCTGTACTCGTTAAAACGTTATTCCGCTCAATGGCGATAATCTTCGCAGGTATCGAAAGGTCCGTCGTCGAGAATGAATCCGAAACCAAGTCGGCGGAGAGCAATGTCTGCTCTCGTCTAAAGCTTCCAATGACTGTACAGACCATAAAAGGGGAGAGGTATTACAACACAAGTTTTGCCGTGTACGTCGCTAGCAAAGAAGAAGAGGGTCTCTACAATCTTTACTTTCATAATTGTCCAAATTATAAATATGATGTCCCGGTTGCATTAGATTTTACGGTAAGATTTTTATTTCGTAACATGTATTTGGAACAACGCATGAATGATAAAAGCATTAACGACACGCAACTTGCAGATACAAATATCCGAGATAAATAGTGGGAATTTCCTGAGCGCTGGTGAAATGCCCCTACCAGCACTTTATTTTATGATGGCGCTTTTGTTCTTCTTATCGGGTTGTTTCTGGGTGTTTATTCTTAAAAAGAGCAAGTAAGCATCCGATCAAAGTATCGAATATGATTAAAACAGTAAAGCCGTATTTTCCCTCTTTTTAAAATTTTCAATTCTTATTCCTTTAGGCATCCCGTATTCAAAATCCACTATCTGATGGCAATTCTGGTGTACTTGAAATCTCTGTCGCTGCTTTTCCACGGAATCAATTATCATTTTATTCAAACGAAAGGAGAGCACGTGGCAGCCTGGGCGATTCTGTATTACATCACCCATTTATTAAAAGGAGCAGTACTTTTTATTACCATTGTGCTCATCGGCACTGGGTGGACGTTCATCAAACACATTCTAGCCGACAAGGATAAAAAACTGTTTATGATCGTGATACCATTACAGGTTAGCCAAAATACATTTTTAATGCACGAAAGGAAAAATAGTGCCTTACGAGAAACTTTGATTCGCAGGTATTGGCAAACGTGGCAGAAATAATAATCGAAGAAAGCGAAGAAGGAGACATCGAACACAAGACCTGGCGGGACGTGTTCATTCTCGTGGACTTACTTTGCTGCGGTGCCATTCTATTTCCAGTAGTTTGGAGTATCAGGCACCTACAGGAAGCTGCGCACACTGACGGCAAGGCAGCCGTTAACTTACGCAAGCTCAAGCTCTTTAGGCATTTCTATATTATGATAGTTTGTTACATTTATTTCACAAGAATCATAATGTACTTACTCAAGGTATGATATTCGTATATCTTTTTTTCTTCTGATTTCTCGTACTATTCTTTCAAAAATATTCTATTGTTACGAACGAGTTTACCCTTTCTAGATCACGGTACCCTTTCAATACGAGTGGTTGGACGAGATGTTCCGTGAAATGGCTACGTACGTGTTCTTCGTTCTTACCGGGTATAAATTCCGGCCAGCCTCCGCGAATCCGTACTTCACGTTAACCAACGATGAAACGACCCAAGGCGACGATGACGACGAAGTGGATGTCGTGTGAGTATTCGATCGATTTTCTACGGTGCGTATATTCTATGTCCGATTGTTTTTTTCGTTATCGTACGAACGAGACGTATTTTGATCGTTTGCGTGCACGTGTTCGGATACTCGGTAAATGTCCTAACGTGACGATCTCAGTCTCTTTTCCAGTGTTTCCGGAAGGAGTGGTATCACCGAGGGACTCAGCAAAGTTAGCAAAGTTCCGAAAGTCATGAGGCCCGCCACCTCGGACGTTCCCTCCACTCAGGAAGAGAGAGACTGTTTGTTCAATAAAACGGATCCTTCTCACGAGTACGACTGAACGCAAAATAGAAATCCTTTGTAACGTACATAATTTTAGTGGAAACAAGAAGGTGACAGACTCGTTTCTCGGTCTTGTGATATTTCGAAACACCGATTGCGGTCCGAATAACATCTAACGAAAATGGGAGTATGTAGTTAAAGGTAGCATCGGTCTTGCTGTCTGAATTTCTCGTAGAAAGGACGATAAATCGATATTTTACTTCATAACGTATATCGTGTTTGCTTTTGTTTCGAAAACCACGGTGAATACTCTTAATTTATCTGTATTGTTGCGTTCGTTCAAATCGAGACTGTTTCGATCGGCGCCATGTATCATTTTCTTGCGTTTAATTATTTAAATCTCGAATATTTGAACCCTTGTTTAAAACGGAATTAAAGACGAATTTTGAAATTTAGCGCAGTCTATGATTACCGGTAGAAAATTGTTATAGATAGCAAGCAAAACTAATCTAGGCGACTTAAAAAGAAGTTTCATGTTTTAAATACGCGATACGATACGTTATAACACGTTTAGAATTAAACTTGGATGAAAGCTCGATGCTAGAGCGAATTCGTGTTTTTATATGCATCTTGCTATAGCTGATTTTTCGTAGGCATTTAGTGAAACGTTCAAACATTTCCATTTGTTTTTTCCCATGACAAGCTTTAGTTTTCTTCGAGCGAAGAATCCGCGCCTCGGCGCTTTAGTAATCTTGTGATAATCGATACACCGAATCCTGGTGTATCATGATCCATTTTTGTAAAGCACTTGATAACCTTTTTTGTATAGAAACATTTACCGTGTCAAGAAAAAACAAAGGTGTAATATGTTTTAAAACGTTTAATGTGTCCCATTGCGAAATATCGTCGTTATTATTACTATTACCGCTACTGTATACGCGTTATCGTAATTATCGTTACGTCTGTTACTATTAGTATTTTATTATATGTAATAAAAGGGACACGCAAGAACGAAGTTGAACGAATAAAGTGGATATTTTTATGAAACTTTTAATTTCCCTTGATACTACATGATTTCCAGATACAAACTTCTCATTTCTTTTTTCTCGATTAAAGTATTTCTTGTTAACAAAAGTCCAACGTTAAAAAATAAGCGATCGAAGATCGTCAATTCGAGATTTTAAATAATTTCGATCCATACTTCTAGATTTTTGAAATGAAGTATCCGTGAACCGTAAGGTCTAACGAGCTAAATTGTATCCTGCTTCGACTGTGGTGAGCAGAAAATTGTGTCGATACTGCGCGAACCTACGAATTATCTAAAACTTATTGAATGGTCACTAATACTTACCGCAGTTTATGCCGTCAACCTTGCTGTTTCGAACGGTATCTATCTAGACTATCCAAGGGTACGTGAGCAACATTTCGAAGTTACTCATGTACCGTACTTTGCAACGAGACGGTAAAATATATTCGACTCTTTCCCTTTTATCTATCGCGATCGAAGAAAAGGTTGAAATTGTATTTCCGTTGAAAATATACTCTAAAAACGAAATAATTTTATCCGCTTTGTTTCTACGACCATAACATTAGAACAGTGTTGTACATGGCGCTTTAAAAGAGGTACACATCTTATACTTTCGGCGGTTACGTTACATCAGTTTGTCAGTTACTTATGAATAAAAAGGGTATCACAAAAGACGAATACGAAGATTCAAATTGCAAGCGGCAAAAGATGTTTTGTTACAGAGAATTTAATCACGGTGTGCATCTTTTATGAAATATCCTGTATTCGTCGAGTTACAAGTACGCGTATCTATCTACAGTCGGTCACGAAAATATTCGGACACCACTATAGTTTTGACTATTATAGTCCGTACTTCAGAAGTGTATACAATAGGAACAAAAGAAGGGTTTACATTTGTTACTATGCAGTGTGTAGTTAACAAAAATATAAGAGATATTTAATCACGATTAGTGTTTACAAAAATAATTAAACAAAAATGGTAAGTGTGCTTACTTTCATGTCACGAAAATATTCGGACACTATGAAAACTATGTTTATAATACTATATATAAATCTTGTTTTTAAAAATTAATATTTTGTTGGATATCCCATGTGCTTTATGACATGCCGTAATCGCGTTGGCATATTACAAATTGTAAGATTTATACGGTACTGAAATTGTACTAAATAGGATAAGTGGTAGGAGAACCTCTGGTAGGACAATAATATTATAAACAGAGTGATGAATGCGAGGGGGGACAGTCGAACAGTCGAAGTTAGCAAATTTAGAAGAAGCGAGCGTGCGAACGAAAGAAAGTAATAAAGTCGGCGAGCGTGTCGATAAACGGAGTACGGATTTTTGTTTGTATATTTACCTATTGTAATAGTTAAATAAAAACTGTGAGAAGTTCTTTTATTTTTGCATAAACCTTACAAAATTATTTTTTTTAATTAATCTTGCCCAATAGTTTTTAAATAGTCTTGCCCAATACGTAACCATTCTTCTTGCAGACGTCTTTTTAGTTCATCCTTTGTGTTTATGGGAGTTGTTCGAATTTGACGATCTAATTCAGGGGTCGGCAACCTTTTTCGGATGGCGGGCCATTTTCAAAATAAAATTTTTTATGCGGGCCGCACATTCAAATGTATCTTAAATAGTGCTTTTATATCATATACGAGTATAAATAAATTAAAAATAACATGTATTTCTCATTACCTATTGTAGTGAAACGTCATACGGTTGTCAATATGAACGTGTTTACGTGCAAAATGCACATATGAACATACAGTAGCAAACTGGCGAAATGAAAGAATGCTACACTTGTTAAGCGAACCGTCGCGTCGTATTCGCTGGGGAGTGGGGACTAAACTTGCGCAGTAAAATAGGTTTCCCAATATGCTTCTGTTAGCGCGCATTTTTGTCACCGGTCACATTTCGGCACGCTCACGCTCTAAGTTTGTTGATTTTTCCTAAAATTAGATTGATGCTTTGGCGGGCCGCACAAAAAGTTGCAAAGGGCCGCAGGTTACCGACCCCTGATCTAATTCATCCCATAAATTTTCAATGGGATTTAAATCTGGCGATTGCGGTGGTGGGTGGAGGACATTCTTGCAAGTGTATAATAAGAATTCTTGCACAATACGCGATTTGTGTTTTGGGTCGTTATCTTGATAAAATTTTATCCCACTTTGAAGTCCCATATTATCAGCACTTTTTTTTAAATTGTTTTGTAAAATGTGCAGATAACTACTTTTATCGAGGATGTCGTCGATAAAAACTAATTCGCCTACTCCATGAGCCGAAATACAGCCCCACACCATCACAAAACCACCACCGTGTTTCACAGTCGGCTGCAAATGTTTCGGATTTAATTCTTCTTTCGACTTCCGCCACACTTTAATTCTTCTACCGCTTCCAAAAATAATAAACTTGGACTCGTCCGCGAAAATTACGTCGTCCCACCACTGACTTTCTTTTGAAATATAGTTTTTTGCAAAATCCAGTCTCTTCTTTCTGTTGTTCGCGTTAATATACGGCTTTTTTCGAGCTATTCTTCCATTATAGCCCTTTGATTTTAACAATCTTCTTATCTTTTCCGGATGCACTGATATTCCACGATTATTATTTAATTCAGCTGCTAACATTGGAGCACTTATCCGAGGATCACGTTTGATTCTCCTAATTATCGAGCGATTATCCCGAGTATTAAGGATCGGTTTGCGGGATAGATAAATTCAATTCCATGTTCATTATTATACCGTCGCACAATATCCCATACCGTACTCTTACTAATGTTTAATAAATCAGCAAATTTCCGAATTAATTTCCCCTTTTCCCGATGAAAAATTACTAATTGTCGCATATTAAACGACGTATTCACACTTTTGCGTCCCATTGCGCATAAATTTTGAACAAATTTCCAGAATGGCCTCTTCTCGTTCCGCGAGGTGTCCCAGCCCCCGCGAAATTTGGGCCTCAGGGTTGTTTTATGACCCGGATGTTACCGCGCCAGGCTTCGTTGCCGGGCGGTCAGGGTCAAGATGGCCATGTGTCGCTTGTCCCCTGCTTTATTGGGGGTGTAGTTGGGAATTTCCCAACACTATAGTGGTGTCCGAATATTTTCGTGACCGACTGTACGTACCAACACAAACGCGATACAGTCTACAGCGAGGAACAAAACCCTTATACTCGCGGATAAGGCTGATTTAAGAAGCTTTTCAGTTTAATAATCGCATTAAAGTTGTGCTGCAAACGACATATATTCTTTCCTAGGACGTTTTCTGTATTTCCTGAAGGGAGATGACTCGAAAGGTATATTCTACGAAAATGTTTAAATCTGATAAAGGAGCAATCCCGATAAAACTGGCCAAGATTAAAGTCGAAATTTATTCGGCGGAAAGTCTATCACTGCACGAATCGAACGCAACAGGTTCCGGTGAATTTCTTATGTCTAGTAAAACACATACATACAGATTGAAATTCACCGAAACGCATTCGAATTAATTTTGGACAATCGATTCAACTTGAAACATTATTTCTGCGAATACGGTATGAAACATCGACGTTGAATTATTGAGAAAAAACCTAAACGGGAGGGACCGAAATTACTATAATTAATTAAGCATAATATATCCTAAAATATGCTTACAAGTTTCTTCAAAAACGAGTTCGTATTTTGTGGAATACATTAAAATCATAACCGTACGCAGGTTATCCGCGTCGAACGCTATACATATTTTAATAGTACAGTATTGCCTCGAAACAAACAACACGCTTGGGACCGGCCAGTTGGTTATTTCGAGGGTGGTATACTATTTGGCTTGCCTTTGTTCCCGAGCGCGCCGACGCAACGGTAGCGGTAAACTATAAAATAATCGGTCCAGCAGCGATGTTATTCTTTAGACGAGGACAGAACATAGCATGCTTTCTCTTTTTAATAGTAGTAAAAGTTCGTGAATGGAACATGTACATAATACATATTGCCTCGAAACAGGTAACAGTTTCGAGCTTCGAAATTAGCAACTGGCCGGTCCCGAGCGAGTTGCTTGTTACGAATCAATGTAGAATCAAATGAATGGATCACGCTCCAATTCCTAACTTGTCACACTTCACCTTATTTTTTTACAATTATGTGAATATCAGCATACAGCTACATACGTATGTGTTGTGTTATTATTGTGTATTGTATATGTATAATTCATATTGTAGGAACGGGGTGCGGAATGGCAAATAAAAAGGAATTATCCGATGAAATAAATGGATAATTCTATTTCGCTACCGTATACAAAAATCTCAAATTCGCTATGATCGCTATTATCGCTATTACCGTTTTGCTGTATTCGCATTCGCTTCTTTCCAAAAACTGCTCCGTTTTGACTCTCATGCCTTGACACTCCGCAATCTACCTTCTCTCTTTCTTTACGTGTTCTCTCTCTCTTTCGCTCGTCAAATGTTTCCTTTGTTCGCCTGCATCCATACTTCGCATTCGCACTATCTCACTCGCACCGTCGCATACGCACTATCGCACTCGCACTGCTTAACGGTAATAATCGCTCAAACGGCTGTGTAACGCAGTGTTTTTCTAGGCGCGCCCAAACATATGATCGGCCCAGGTTATTGCCCTCCTACAATATAGTGTTATCATATTGTATATTCTATATATTATATTGTATATTCTATATACTGCATTACACTTAAATAATGTTTCGTTTGATTGTTAAATAGATTTATTAAAATTATTAAGTAGT